TGACGATTGAATTCATTCCAACGGCACCAGGCTTTGCACTTTGGAGACAACCACACATGTTTCGGACGCAATCTGCTCATGAGCAGCCTCTCATAAAGGCGGAATCGCCCCGGCTGGGACTTCAAGTCACCGTCCTGCAAACTGTGACGCTCAGCACACAATCCTTGTGCTCTGGCCCGTTGGGTCAGTTGACTTTCGGGACTGCAGTAAATTTCAAAAACATCGGCACGGTGCGTCTTCAACAAAGGAGATTCAGGCAGAACTCCCTTTGAGGCAAAATACTGCCACATTTCTTTGGCTATCCAGTTAGTAGTTCGACTGTAAAAGATGTTTTCCCCTACATCATGTTGATCAATCACGGGATCTAGAGGATTGTCATTGGAGAGTTGTTGCCATGTTCCACACAGGTCAGTCAAAAGCAAGGGTTGGACAGGCATGAGAGTTTCATCAGGCTCAGACTGAATTACTGCGGTTCGCCGGCTGGCCCCTTCAGATGAGCAAGAACCTGCTGCATCACATTCTCGATCTCGAGCATACGGCGCTGCATGTGTAGGAGTTCCAGAGTGTTCTCCTCTGGCACTTGATCCCACTCTTCGGGTTCCGACTCCAGGTCGATGGGCATCGTGCTGGCTAGAGCCTTGGGGCAGGCTTTGGCCTTCGGCCGAGTGGTGGCACTGATCTCCTGATTGTTCTTCTCCAGATTTTCTACATGCAGCTGAATGAACCGAAGGAACTTGACGTGTTCCGTCCGGCGGCTCTCCTTGTAGGTCTCTGCAAACCACGTCATGTAGCGGTGCTCGGTCACCATGGAAGCACAAGTCTTCCCGCAGTGAGTTTTTCCAAACTTGATGGTTTCGTTCTCGAGCTCGGCTAGTGTCATGGACATGATCTGTGGGAGACTCTCGGAATCCCTTTCCGACAGAGACAGACGGCGGAGACGACCGGCCAACTGGTCGAACTGGTGATCCACAGGACTCTGGGACATGGCTGACAACGGAATGACAATCGACGGGTTGTTGGCAGGCAGGGCTGAGCCGATCTTGCTGTTGAGCGGCTGGCTTCATCAAACACGGATGCTCTGACGGATAAACTGTACTTATTGGATCTTCGGATTCAATTGGCTGAGACACATCAATGGACCTGGACACCTCATCTTCCCCAACGCTACTGCTCTTATCGGAACTGGCGGCATAGAGCGTCTGCTCTCTTTTGGCGTGATCACGTGTCTGCAAAAGGTCAAGAAGGTCCAGCCTGTACAATTTTCGATCAGTGATCTCAATGGGCACGGTGCGGCCCAGTGCTTTGAAAAAGATCTGATTCAGACCTGTATCGATGACAGCTCCAAGTGATCTAAAAACACTATTGGCAATGAGAAAAGGAGTATTGGATGGGACAATCACCACCTTGATCCATCTGTCACCTACTGGAAAGAAAACTGATCGCTTACCCATCACAGAGCTATCATTCCCAAAACGGAAATTAATGGCACATGGGGCTTCTTTCATGGACTGCAGTACGCTCTTTGGCAACATTCGACAAAGGTCGGTGAATTGGCTCTGTCCTATCACTGACATGCTTGCCCCAAGATCCACTATCCCGTATGTCCCCTGTGAGACAAAGTTGATACTTTCCTCCGACAACTGCACCCTCACGGTGGCTAGTTCATGGTTTTTGCTCAGGGGGTCGCAAGTAGAAACCGATTTCTCACTTTCCTGTCGACTCCTGCACATGTATGGAAGGCGGGCAAGAAAGTCTGGCTTGCATTTGGACAACACCCTATTTAACTCATGAACATGATATGTTCTATGATCATGTTGTGGACCCTTTACATAGCATGCGGCAGTCATGAGGCATGTCTCCTCCATCATGAAAGCAGTGGCTTCCGGTGGAGGTGCATCAACATCTTCAGGTGCATGGTCATATGGCGGCGGCTGAGCCATGGTGGAAAACACTGTCACACCGGCGAATGCCGTGTTGTTGGTTCCAGGAACATTGGACTTTGCCCTTTGTGGACATTCGGCTTTCCAATGTCCAGGTTGATTGCAAAGTCTACACGTCGATTCCAGGATTCTCTGGGCTAGTGGCTTTCGGAATCGATTCTTGAAACCACCTTTAAATTTCCCTTTTGATTTCCCTTTTGAACCCTTGTTTCCAAAGAACCCACGGGCTTTCACCTTTTCTGTGACTCTTTTCCGCGCTTCCACATAGCTATTGAGACATGTTGCAACTTCTGGGTCATTCTGCAACGAGTCCACTAAGGCCTCTTCGAACTGGGGTATGATGAGTGCATCCTCGTCCCCTTCTGACAGAAGGGTCTCCAAACCAGCATCCTCAGACTGATCCAGAGAGACAAATGCCGTTTCATCCATCTCTTCATATTCACGATCACCATCATCGACATGGAAAACATCATAAGTTTTGGTTCGGGTGTTGTTGCGTGTTCCACCCGACTGCACTTCGGCAAAAAACTTGGATCCAAGCAGTTGCAGAGAGTCTACGACCTTCTTGTACTCGAGATTACCCTGTGCATCTATGATGATCTTCTTTTTGTCTTCAGCCAACAGTCCAGAGTTACGAACCAAGACATAGGCTCGCATCTCCTCCAGAGTTGTGCCCATGTTGACCAACTCCTCGAACTGTATCTCATGACGAGCCAGGTAGCTCGAATGCGTTTCATCGCTCTTCTGGACTGTTCCATAAAGAGCCCTCTCAAAACGTTCATACTTGGTCTCCAGTTTCGATTGGCCCCATACCCCTCCAAGTGTCTGCACGACCAGCTTGATGCCGTCAATGGTTTGAACCTTCAACTTCGTAGGGTCCAGTCTGACGACTTTCTGGAATGCAGTTCCTTCACAAAGGAGGCATGCTCTGGGTGCCAATTGCGCTAAATGCTCCACTGGCCAAATGTTGGCCAAGAATTCCAGTCGACGTGTATAGTCGTTGATGTCGGTATCGCCAGGTTTGAACGGCGGGATCAGATGCCAAGGCAGCTGATTGCCACCTGTCTGGCCACCTGTTGCAGGGTGTTGGCTTTCCCCCGCACTTCCGTCCATCCCCGGATCTAACTCACTTCCGCTGCTTCTTGTCCTCCTCCAGCTCCACGAAGTAGCGGTGAGCCGATGCTCCGCTACCAGTATTAAACTGGTAGCAGGAGTCAATCCACCTCCAAGGTTCACTGGGGCCACCTGACCCTATTGGGATACCACCTCCTGATGGTGATGCTAACCAGTTATGAGGACCTCCTGATCCAGCCACCCCTATGGCGCGCCCCACCGGCACTGGGCTTGTTTTTGCTGACGTCGTCCAATACGGCCCCGGGGAATTTGCTAGTTTTTAATAAACATGGGTTGGGGTGGGGTGGGGTAGGATGTTAACGTTCATGGTACGCTGATGATGTTACGCTGCCCGTTGGGGTTGGGGTGGGGTGGGGTGGGATGTTAACGTTCATGGTACGCTGATGATGTTACGCTGCCCGTTGGGGTTGGGGTGGGGTGGGGTGGGATGTTAACGTTCATGGTACGCTGATGATGTTACGCTGCCCGTTGGGGTTGGGGTGGGGTGGGGGGGGATGTTAACGGGGTGATGGTACGGGGGTGGGTGGGCTGTTTAAGGTACGTTACTGCTCCCGTTGGGGTTGGGGTGGTGGGGTGGGATGTTGTTCATTTACGCTGATGTTAACGTTGGGGTGGGGTGGGGTGGGTGGTGTTAACGTTCTGGTACGCTGATGATGTTACGCTGCCCGTTGGGGTTGGGGTGGGGTGGGGTGGGATGTTAACGTTCATGGTACGCTGATGATGTTACGCTGCCCGTTGGGGTTGGGGTGGGGTGGGGTGGGATGAATATGTGGGATGAATATGTATATATATATATGTGTGTGTGTGTAAACGGCTATCCATTCAAGCCGAAGTTATTCATTTGTCGTCATTCACATGTCGTATTGAGCTTCGATCTTGGAGGCAGTAGCATCTCCCGGATTTCATTTATGTGTGTCAGTTTGGCGAGATTCAGTTTGCGGTAATTAATTTTGCAAGAATTCATTTCTGCGAGCTTTCAGTTTGCGAGATACGAATTTTGATAAATTAAGAACCAGTAGCAGGGGGCCAGCGCATGGCATCACGACGCTGGCCAACGAAGCTAGTGATGTCATGGGAAGCAGTTGGAGACGTCCAACTGTGTACCTGCAAAGAAGTTTGAAACTTTTGACAAGCTGTCATCCTTGGTATGTTTTGAGAGTCCTTTGAACTGCAATGTGTATCATGTTGGCAAGTTCACCCTGTCAGCACGTGTGACGTCCGATCTCGTAAGGCCACTTAGGTTCATCAAGGCGTATACATCTTCATCACCATATCGAATCTCATCGCGTTCCTTACGGAACCATATCTCAGTGTGTGCATGCCTGCGTGTGTCAGGTTACACACACACATATATATATATGGATATAAATATATTGTATATATAATACTTGCATATATGCATATAAGAATCAGTGTACATGTCCAAGTATGCAAGGTATGTGTCTATGTCTGGCCTATCATGTATGCAACACGATCCTAACATATTGCTGGCTTCCAAGCGTTTTTTTTTTTCGCTGATTCGCACATGGACTTGTAAAACCCATTGGAAATAGCACAAAATGGACACAAAGTGCTGTAAAACGCAAGGCATTTGAACATGGCGCAAAATCCATGGTGACAGAAAGTGCCATAAGGGTTATCGAAATAGCAAGATGCTTGTTTTCAAAACAAACAAAAACAACGGGACCGCAATGGACGACGTTACCTTGTTTTTGGTTCCACCTGCGACCCTCCTGATCGATCCTGAGCCCTGTACAGCCACACATGTATATGTGCGTACCCTGCAACTGGCAATGTGACAGCTGGAACTGTGGAATTCACAATATATATATATATATATTCAATTATAATTATACTCATACATATCTGAAACATATCCATGCATATACCCTTCTATATCCAGTCTCCCAATGAAGATCTACCCTTTCAACTACCCACCATGCCCTGCTCAGATCCCAGTGGCTGCGCGCTGCCGGAGGCGTCGGTCCATTTCAGAGACATGGGAAAAAGCTGCTCCGGCAACGCCGTAAGCTGCATTGCCTCGGGTGGGGCGGGCGAAATCCGAGGGATATCTAAGGATAATCATGGGAATATCCATAGAAAAAGGATAAGAAAACAATGGGCATAATCTGAGGAATATCTGTAAAAAAATCTGAGGATACAATGTCATGGGAAAATAATACGGTATAATCTGGGGCAAAATCATATCCTAGGAAAATCGATGGGAGGCTGGGGATGGAAATATACTGATATAAGGGAAATGTAATGCACACATGATAGGAGGTAGTCATGATAATCTAAGGCAAAACCAAGTGAGGATGATTATTTTAATGATTAATGATTATATATATATATAGTAGTGTTGTATTCACACTACCCTCTGGTAAACTAACATAACTATGGCAAATCACCATTTATTAATGGGAAAACTCACTATAAATGGCCATGTTCAATAGCTATGTAAACGTTTACCAGAGGGTAATCCCTTTGACCGATCATAAAATGGTGGATTTTATAGGGGGCAAGTGATAGGAAAATCATGAAGGCTGGGGATTTTTGTTCCAAGGTAACAATAGGATAGATGGGTATGGTCCAAAAATGTCCCAACTTGTTTTGCATGTTGTTTGTGGTACCCTCTGGTGAACTAACATTTTGCAATGGAAAATGGCTATTTATTTCGTGGATTTTCCCATTAAAAAATGGTGATTGTCCATTTCTATGTTAGTTCATCAGAGGATAATCATTATTTTTGAACATGTCAATTGGGCATTATAATGTATATATATATGATTATATATGGCTTCAAATGTTCCACTTCGAGACAAAGCTCCTTATCAGGTTTGATACTTGCAACCTGTGATATACCCTCTGGTAAACTAACATAGCTATGGAAAATGGCCATCGAAATAGTTGATTTACCCATTAAAAATGGTGGTTTTCTATAGTTGTTTGTAGGCTTACCAGAGGGTAACTGGATAATACTGGGGTGGTATTTTTTGTGGTCCGGATCCAGCTGCACAGGATTGGCCAAGCATTGCGAGCTGGAGCTTTCCTAGAATGGGGTTGTACCCCAAGAGCTGGATGATTTATAATGGAACATCTAATCTATTCAATCTATACGTATATATATATATGGATGATTTAGGGTTATCCCCATTTAAGATATTTAAGGACGCCTTCATAATTTCTGGTGATTGCGAATTGCGAATTTACAATCCTACACCTAAACCGTCATATATTGGCTGCCTGATATTTCCGGCCCTTGATCCAAGCCTGGCGTGCAGGTGAGCATCTTGAAATTCAACTGAGTAAACGACTTACTGTGGCATTGATCTGTTTCACACATCTGGGCATTCAATTCAAAAAGTAACAAGAAAGAATTCATGTGTGGGTGGCAAATGGTAGCAATCACCAACCATAAAAGCAACAATGCAACAATGCAAAGAAAGGGTTATATACTGTGTATGTACTATATATATATATATACCTCTCTCTCTCTCTCTTTTGCACCACTCTAATGAACTTTATGCTGGACCCCTCACCCATCTTCCTGTGGCCCTTTGCTTTTCGTTTCCAAACACAATGGCAACAATGGCGCGATGGATCCACTAAAGGCAACTGGCAATCTTCAGCAGTAAATGTTTCTTGAATCTTCATGTATCCCCGAACCAATCCGAAGCCTCTATCCGTTCATCTCCCGAAATTTCTGAACCCTTTTGGGTTCTCCCCATGCGGTCTATAGCCCCGAGATTTCATTGAATATCTGCATTTTCCCAAGACATTGGCAGTCATGCATAAATCCGTATCTGGGCAAGTATTTTGTCTTGTTTCTCTCATGTTTCTATTTATTGAAGAATTTATCCGATTTCAGTTGTTTGACTATGGATGCGAAAACAAGCCAGCAGCTTCATGACTATATAGCATTTGTTTGGACCTCCCTCAGCGAGTTTCCGCCGTTTCAAAGCCAAGGCGCCGCCGTTCCGAAGAAGGCAATCTCGTACTGCTTCAGGCTGTTCAACATGCCTGGCAAAACAGGCAAACAAACAGGGATGCGAACAGGAAAATAATATATATATATACATAAACTGAACAAATGCATTTTGCACATATATATATATATATGTGTGTGTGTGCGTGTGTGTGTGTGTGTGCCATTATGTCATTACGGATATAGCGAGATATAAAGAGAGATATGAAAGCAACAATGTGATATTTGGGTGCGTCTCAAAATGGCAAATACCGCAATATATGACCATTTGACCCGAAATCATTATATTATATGAAAAACCATGAAACAACATCTTCCCTCCAAACCTCACGTTCGCCCATGTCCAAAAAAACAAACTAACGGGATACATATCATAATCTCTGTGCATCATAGACCTCTTCTGGATAGGTCTTTGGAGAAAAGACCTAAACGTGAATCCTGGGACCTATCCAGGGAAGGGTGCTGCAGCAAAGAATCAAGATGTGCATGGCCAAGAGACATATCATGTTATTCAATATTGCACAAACTCTTGAAGAGATATATTGATGCATAATTTATGCGCAATTTCAGACCTGACCGTGGACAAAGCGTGGAACGACCTATCCAAGGCGTAGACATGCCTATCTAGGGCGTGGACGGCCTATCTAGAATAGGGGTGCCAGAATAGCAAAATTTTGGATCCCCCCAAGAAAAGAATGGGCAACAATTTGGGTTTCAGTCTGGATACTCGTGATGGCACAAGAATTCAAAACTTAAGGCTACTTACCCTTTGCGCTTATTTGGGTCTTTTGTGATGTTTTTAGGTTTTTGGTCAACTCCAATCACGGATAGGACTTTTACATATACTTGTCACTCAAGGAAGAACGAAGACACTGGCTATACGTAGGGGTTTGAAAACTTTAGGCTTTCGAGATTTGGTGGGCTTTCAGATGGTTTCAGGTTTTGACGGTCTGTTGTTGGTTAAAAACTCGTCCTACACAGGGACTTGAACATGTCAAAATCACGGGCAAACGTCGGGTTTGCAGCGAATTTGTAGTTTAAGTCCTGGAAGATATTAGCCAACTGGGATTATCAGATCAAACAAAATGAAATATCGAACATATTTCAAACCACAACCAGGCGTGGAGCGGCTTGAAAGGTCATCCGTGTCCATCTGCAGGGCGGAGTGTGTATGAATATGTTCAAAGCTTTGTGGCAAGTATAATGTATATATCAAATATTTTGAATCATCCTGAAATCCTCCTCCGTTGAATCATCATCATCATCATCACCATCATCATCATCATCTCTACTTAGAAGTTGGTGTAAAACGCGCATTAAGTACAGCCACCCTCTGGTCATCAAGCATGGCAATGGACATTCCCCCAGGAGATGTTCCATTGCCAGGTTTGATTCGCGGACGGTCATCACCCTCTGATATTCCATGTTTATCCCATCGATGACTATGCCATGATCATACCCCTGTTAAACCACATTAGTTTAACATGAACACGCCATAAATCATATTTAACATCAAACAAATCCCGATTTGTGCATGGAAAAAAAATCCATTCACTTACTTTAAACCATAGAAAATTCACCATCTTCCTACCGGCTGAGGCAAAAAAAACAACACCCGTTTCGCTATGTGCTGACGCTGAGGTCTTGGCTGTACCTGGTGTCCGGATTGACCTGGAGAAGTCGGAGATTCACCCAATGGCACTTTAAGCCATGGGTAATGCGAAAGTATGGGGAAATCATATGATAGATATATGATATGAGGATATTCCACTATCATATTATATGATGATGATATATGATGGAGAAATTTATGAGGATATATGATACAGTGATGGGAATATCTGATACCCTCTGGTAATTTAACGTAGCTATGGAAAGATCCACCATGCTATTAATGGGAAAACTCACTATTTCAATAGCCATTTTGAATAGCTATGTTAAATTACCAGAGGGTAATTAATATCTGATAATTATGAGGATATAGTGGAATACCTGATGGGAATATCTGATATCTGATATCTGATAAAAAGTATGATGGGGAAATTTATGAGGATATATCTGATAATTATGAGGATATAGTGGAATATCTGATGGGAATATCTGATATCTGATATCTGATAAAAAGTATGATGGGGAAATTTATGAGGATATATCTGATAATTATGAGGATATAGTGGAATATCTGATGGGAATATCTGATATCTGATATCTGATAAAAAGTATGATGGGGAAATTTATGAGGATATATCTGATAATTATGAGGATATAGTGGAATATCTGATGGGAATATCTGATGGGAATATCTGATATCTGATATCTGATAAAAAGTATGATGGGGAAATTTATGAGGATATATCTGATAATTATGAGGATATAGTGGAATATCTGATGGGAATATCTGATATCTGGTATCTGATAAAAAGTATGATGGGGAAATTTATGAGGATATATCTGATAATTATGAGGATATAGTGGAATATCTGATGGGAATATCTGATATCTGATATCTGATAAAAAGTATGATGGGGAAATTTATGAGGATATATCTGATAATTTGAGGATATAGTGAATATCTGATGGGAATCTCTTCTATCTTATAAATCTGATCTAAAGTATGATGGTTAAATTTATGAGGATATATCTGTGATAATTATGGAGGTATGGTATAGTGGAATACTGTGATCTGATAATATAGTATAATGGGATATCTGATAAACAGTAGAGAAGTGATGAGGATATATCTAATATGAGGATATAGTGGAATATTGTGGAAATCTGAGATATCTGATATCACTGATAAATACGAGATATTGATTATGGGGAAGATAGCGGATAAAAAGTAAATGGTCTTAAGGAAATTTATGAGGAGATATCTGATAATTAATGAGGATATGTGGTGAATATTGATGGGAATATCTGATATCTGATATCTGATAAAAAGTATGATGGGGAAATTTATGAGGATATATCTGATAATTATGAGGATATAGTGGAATATCTGATGGGAATATCTGATGGGAATATCTGATATCTGATATCTGATAAAAAGTATGATGGGGAAATTTATGAGGATATATCTGATAATTATGAGGATATAGTGGAATATCTGATGGGAATATCTGATATCTGGTATCTGATAAAAAGTATGATGGGGAAATTTATGAGGATATATCTGATAATTATGAGGATATAGTGGAATATCTGATGGGAATATCTGATATCTGATATCTGATAAAAAGTATGATGGGGAAATTTATGAGGATATATCTGATAATTATGAGGATATAGTGGAATATCTGATGGGAATATCTGATATCTGATTTAAAGAAAAAGTATGATGGGGAAATTTATGAGGATATATCTGATAATGATGAGGATATATGATACAGTGGAATGTCATAAGAAACAATATGGGGATAGATACAAGCTGGTGCCCCAGTTCGTTAACTAACTTAGTTTATGTACCTAGGTAAAGTAGGTTGTGCGCTGATTCTAGCAAAAGCTAGATGTGTTTATACATCAACTTATAACTAGGGGTCACCACCTTGTAATTCTGTGGGATTTCTTGTGATGGGTTATATATGTATGTATAATATATATATGTATGTATGTGTGTGTGTACATATATGTGTAAAACAAACACAATATATGTATATATATATATAAATAATTATAAATATATATACATATACATAATTTGACAATAAACTGTTGACCGTATCACAAATAGTGTCTAATGGGGGCTAGTGGATATGCTTTCTATATTGAGATTGATTCGCTTTCTGGATGGTGTGCGTGAGTGGCTTTGGATCATCCCTGGTGAGGTCGCGTCCAGTGGCAGCCGCATTCCTTCAAGAAATCAATTCCAAATTGAGAAAAAAACGGCAGATTTTAGGATAATCTAAGTTCCCCTGCATGGAGATTGGAAATCAATGGGAATCGATGGGTCAAACCCTCAAACACTTTCCCACATTGCCACAAGACTATCCATTTGCCAGCTATTTTGGTTTCCAACAGCACAAGCTCATCTTAGGTACCCTGCATTTCTTGTTTAACAACTTCAGCCACTACCAAGCTAAACTAACAGAGATGTGGAAGCCATGGCATATTGAAAAAAATGAGTGAATTACCATGAATTACCCATTGAAATGGTGATTTATGATTTTCTCCACATGCTGGGTAAATTATAATATTTCACTAACCAGACTTAAGGCCATTTTGGGATGATTCCCCTTACTAACTATGATTTCCAGTGAGGTCACAGTGAGGTCGATATAATTTTCTCCACATCTATGGTACTTTGCCCCAGGCGAAGCCCTTAAAGCCAGGGTAAGCCCGCGCCAAGTCACAGGCTCCAGCAGCGCCGCTGGAAGTTCCTCCAAATCGGACAGCCCTGTCGAGGGCTGAAGTCATCAGCAGTTTCAGTTGGATTAGCTAAATTTCTATTTGTATCTGCACAGATATCTAGTCTTCCTCTCTCTCTCTATATATATATATATATCTATATATATATATATATGTGTGTGTGTGTGATTGAGATATTTACCACTAACAGCATTAAATATATATATATATATCATATATATATATATATAATGAGATTTTCCCAGCAACAACTTGGTATAATCCAATCCTTGAGCATTGATTTCTTGAATACGTGGGAACATCCGGGCCGGAGGGACCCAGATCCAGATCCAGATCTAGGAGGATTTCTCTCTAGGTTCCTTTGGGCAGAAGCTGCAGGAATTCAACTGGCAGTGGTCAATCATGTCAGGCAACACCCCTGAAGTGTTCCCGAGACAAAAAATGAAACAATCAAACAATAGAGGTCAGTTTGATGATAAATGGGGTCCAATACATACACATACTATCAAAAAATATTGTTTCATTTATTGCTATTGAGTTCTGTATACATGTGTTGTTGGCATATTATACATATGTGTAAGTAGCCCATGATTGTACATCAACTTGCAACAAGTGTGTTGGCCACAAAATGTGACGTGATTTGCCACCCGTGCTCCGTTCCAAACCTCCACACCATGAACTGGCTGTGTCTTGAAAACCAGATCAACATATAGATAAACCATTTGATGACCCATTTCATCCCATGATAAAGTTTATAATGGTTTATCATGTTCCAATCCGTTCGCTCGTTTTATTTTTGGCATTCTGTTTAGGCAACCACTGCCCAGCCGCCCAGGACCGTTCAAAAAACCAGCCTGTAGTTGCCCGCTTGCGAGTGCGGCCACGAATCAAGGACCTCAGTAGGTAAAAATGTGTTTTTGGGGTGGAAAGGTTTCTCTCCAAGCAAGTTTTGTCAATAATCAACCATTTCACGTGTACATTTCTGGTCTTGTAATCATGCTCATACTTGCCGTTGCTGGGCCAGCTTCTCAACTGTTCTCTTTGATTTGTATTCCTCTTATTGTGGTTGTTTGTTGTTTCTGGGGTGGACAAGTTGCTTTTTTTTGGAACTCCAGTATGAGGCAACGCTTCTGCCAAGTAGCCTAAAAGATTGGGTAAAGGTTTCATGTCGGCTTCCCCTCTTTTGCACTTTTTGTGTATTGTAACTCCTTTTCCTACAGGGCTGGAAGGGGCTTGCTCTCTGCGCAAGGTTCACCCAAGAATCAGTAATCAATTTCCTTTTCCGCTTTTATGTTTCTTGTCTTGTTTCTAGTTGCGTTGCTGGGGTGGAATGGCTTTGGAAGGGGGTCGGGCCAGCTTCTCTCAACTGTGTCGTCTTTCCTTTGCATTCCTTCTCTTGTCCTTGCTTGTTGTTGCTGGGGGTGGACTGGTTGCTCTTTCTAGGGACCATGAGGCAAAGCTTCTTTGCGCTAGCCAGGCTCTAGATGATGGGGCAAAGGTATTTTTTTCCATCAAACGGGTGCCCTCCCCAGTTGCCCCCACCAAAAAGTGAGGATCGTTTACGGGTTGTTAATCCAGATCAACACATATGAATGGGTCTTACGAATCTTCCATTGTTCCGGTGGGTACCTTTGTGTGACATATAGATCAAGCACGAAAGCCCTTAAAGAGAAAGTAACCTTGTCACCTGACTTCCAATGGCTATGTCAAAGGAGTTGAACGTGAAGCTAATTGCTTTGAAGCTAGATGGCCAGGGTGAACATCGCTTGCCACCCTGAAAAATCAATGCGTTGCAGGATGTCAAAGATTCCTCGATCAAATGAAGTAATAAACTCATATAACCTGTCAACCTCCATGCATCTGCATTTGCCAGTTTCTTTACCCAAATACGTTTCCTTCTTGCATAAACCCTGGATCAAACCTGGCAATAGCAAATCCATGCGAATACCCCCATGTGTAAACAATGTCCCTACTCAAAATATCGGATTTTCCATTGCTTCTCATGTTTCTATCGGTTGTTTTCATCAACATCATCTGTTCCGGTGTCCCGAGCCCGGCACGCGAGCACATTTGATCCGTCGGACTTCTCTGACACGTACCTCGGATGGTACGGCATCTGGCAGATTTCCTTCTCCGTAAAACAACAAATACCCATGTATGATGTGGAATGGTTGTACGAATCTGGCTTCGTGGGTAAAAGTAACGAGAAGAAACTCTGCACCTAGGACTTAGGACCTTCGAGTGAGAAGTGGCATGTGATCCCAAACGTGCGATATGGATTACGTTTACAGGCCTTGTAGCCCAGTGAATGGCAGTTGAGCAACTTCAGGGCTCATCTCAATACAAGGTTAGATATACATTCACTTCCGGTCTGCAAACATTTAGACAATCCCTGACTATAGGGTTCATACCCTAAGTGGCTTGAAGTGTCATCAATATTGCTGCCACCTATATGTCACGGAGTAAAGTAGAATATAGTAGATTGTCAAATCACACATGTCATTCATGTAAACATGCAGACTGCAAATGCATATGTTCATGTATATTATATAAATACATACCAGCATATAGCAAATAAACTTTTTTACTGTGCAAACGAGAAATCAGTATGGTTATAATTCTGTGAGCCCAATAGTAAACCGCCCCAAATGACTGACCCTGAATGGTTGGAGAGACAAAGCCATCCCCAGAAGGTAGTTGTTTAGGCGTGAGTCATGCGGCATGAGGTTTGCCACCTTACGTACAAGCCGTAACAGGTGAAATCCCCATGAAACAAATTTCACAAACATAAACGATGATGCAACCATGGTTTTGTATATGTGTTCCATGTCTTTCTATGTCTTTGTAACACGATTCAGCTGGTTGAACGCCATTGGTTGAACCCTAAACCCTGCCAGGTTCAACTAAGCTTGCGGCTGCATCGCCAAGCCACCTGAGACATGGCGGAGATCGATGTAAAGCAGCACCAGTGGGTATATAGGTTGCCACAATAAGACCAACTAATATGAGAAGTTACCCTCTGGCAATTTAACATAGCCATTGAAAATTGCCATTTATAGTTTGCCACAATAAGACCAACTAATATGAGAAGTTACCCTCTGGCAATTTAACATAGCCATTGAAAATTGCCATTTATAGTTGATTTACCCATTGAAAATTGTGATTTTCCATTGTTATGTTAGTTTACCAAAGGGCAACTACTATATTTACTTCCTATAATATCATGGTGCATAATACACTATAGTAGTTAACAATAGTTGATTAAATTGCCATTTCAGAAACCTAAATTGGAGGTACCAACTAGATAAGCTGTATCCTGTATCTAAGGCCTATGTAAGGGTATATACCACCAAAATATGGCTCTATATATGGTAGTACCTCTAGTTTAGGTACTTGAAACTGCCATACGATGTATCTATGTATATGGCATAAAGCTGCATTAAGAGTGGCAATAATACTCGCAATGCTAGAAATAAATACGAAGAATAAGAGAATACAAATAAAAATACAATGAATAGTATACTGTAGTAGAACCACTACTCACAAAGGAACTGCAACAACTTGACATATAGCAACTATATAAGTAGGGTGGACACCGAAGTCGCTCAGGTTTCGCCGACTTCCGGGATGGCCTTGTGAAGTTGGGCAATGACAATATCAAACTCAGTCGTCTTCAAATTCCTGGTTGCATTAATATGGAGATATCTGGAGTAATGCTGGTTCCAATTTCGGCAACTTCAACTTCACTAACTTTTGGGTGTGGTCCCCTAAATTATGTAAGCACTTTTCCATCGAACTATCCCAAAAATTTACCATGGTCGCACGTGAGCTGAAAAACTGTTCCTTATTGGTGGTAATAGTACATAGTACTTTTGCCCGCAAATGGCCAATTTCACAATCTGGACAATGATGTTTTAAGCCATATGTATGTATGTATGTATGTATGTAGGTAGGTAGGTAGGTAGGTATGTAGGTATGTATGTAGGTAGGTAGGTAGGTATGTACGTAGGTACGTAGGTACGTAGGTACGTAGGTAGGTAGGTATGTAGGTATGTAGGTATGTAGGTAGGTAGATAGGTATGTTTGTATGTATATATGTATATACACCACCACAGGGGCATCATACCCCCCCCCATCCCATGGGGGGGTGGGAACACGGGACACGGGACCATATATGTATATACATATATTTGGGATTTGGGGATGTAGTCCAGTTGTATCCCATTGTCACATGAATCCAGATATACAGTATCCCTGTTTTTGTCTATGTCCCCTATGGTTCCGTATGGCCTCTTGGGTAACCAACCCACCTGCCCTGCATTGATCCCAAGCTACGATCCACTTCCTCGATGACAAACAGCCTTCGCCGCCAATTCCTCGGAGCCGTGGGGGTAGTTTGATGGCCATATAGCTGGGAAAATCATCCAATCATCGTGAAGTCTCCACTATACTTGGATTGGCCAGGGAGTTAGTTGGTTAACTACTTCGGATAGATATAGATATAGATATGGATATGGATATTTGGATATAGAGATAGATATTATAATTATGATTATAAATATAAAAATAAATAAATACATACACATATATATATATATTTATAATATGTAAAAAGGGTTGTGGCTGGCATTTTGTATATATAGTTATTGAACCCACTTACTAACCAAGAATCGCTTTGTTTTTCCCATGGGCCTGAGCTGCTGGAGTTCCCAGATCCAAGGAGCTGGATTTTGCTCAAATTCGCTGGTGTCAGGTCGACTCCAGCACAAAGTTTCCACAAATAACCTTGGAGTCCACGTTTTTGGTGCCACTGTTGGACTAGAGGCCACTACCCTGTAAAACAGTTACATAGATGTGGAAAACCCATACTTTCCCTAGGAAAACTATCTACAAACTGGGTGGGTTTTCCACATCTATGTTATGTATTGCTATGTTAGTTTGAAGGAGGGTAAGTTAAGTTTAGCACCGAAAACCCGATTCAACTCAAACACTACTGGTTTATATAGCTCGAACCACAAAATACACTATCGAAATGTGCCAAGTTACAAGCCACCACTCCCCACCAGTAGCAACTGAGGTTCGAACCCAGAACTTGTCCTGCGTGCGAGGATTGAAGATCTGATAGATGCAGGTTCCAGGTACACTGCTAACTGTACCTGACAACTTAATTGCCACCGACACTACAGTCCCAATTCGGGTTGCGTATAGTATATAATTTATCGCGCATATTCACGGAAATATTTCAGTAGCCTAGATTAGCGCAAGATTAGATCAGAAGGGGCCCGTATGTGTCTGCATGTTTCCAAAAATGCTGCCTTTTATGTTTCTGCATGTTTTGCATTGTTTTGCCACATTTTAACAAATGGTTGTTCTGTTTTTTGTTGCATGTTGTTTCTTTTGTGTTTTTTTGCGCACTTCTAATCTGACAACTTTACATGTGCAAGTTTTCTTGAGCAGATTTAGGCAAAACAAATCAAGAACTAAAAGCAACGGACAGCAATCCAAAGTGAGCCGGTCCATGTCAGACCTGTGTCAAATGAAGAGGTCTTGGTAAAGTTTGGACCTCCTGAAATCACACTGTTGCTTTTCCTGCTTTTGATTCTTTCTTTTGGCCAGGATTTGAACAAGGTTGCCATGGGTATCTATCGCCCATGTAGCGGGATCTTTGTCAGGCTTTCTCAGCGTGTTGTTCAGGAAAACTCCCAGCTCATGGGCAGTTTCACCAGCCAGAGGCCCATCAGAAGATCAGCTGATTTGGCCCGGCCAATCTGAAGTGCAAAGACCACCTGTCCCAGCGGCTCTGCATTGCTGAGCCTTTCGACAGTCCGAAGCTTCGAGTTATATATGTTCATTGTTGTTGCATTGTTGCATATGTCTGCATTGTTTTGCTCTGCTTCCCTTATTTCGCGACTGTTCAATATTTCTTGAGATTTGGGGGGCAAACATGAAATCTATTTGAGCCCCGAAAACTTGTTCCCTTTACTTGCCTTTTTGAGACTCAATATTTTTGAAACACTTCAGGATTCTTTGGAATACGTTTGTCTTTCTGCTGCATCGCTTCGGGTGAAAATGTTTAGGTCCAGGCGAGACCAGAGATAGCAGCCTTAAGCTCCTATACCTCCAGAATGCTGCGAGCTGAAGAATGCCGTTGGTGCCCTCCAGGGTGCGCCCTTGCAGGGAACAGCAGCTCCAAGGTCACCCGGACCTCCGCTACATACCCCTGGGGTATTCCTCTTTTGAACATCAGAGTGATGTTCAGGTCACGCCAGCTGGTGGCAGGGGAAGCGAAGAGGTTCTTCATATTCACGATGTATATGGGCGCCTGTGGTCCCCGTGCTTTGGCTGCGAACTTCTCTTAGACCTTGAACACCGTCTTATAGTCGCGGCACGTGATAGCCACCCCAGCGGTGTCCTTCTTGTTTTTTTGTTGCTGCTGGTCTCAAGTGTGTTTATGTTTTTTGGCAGCTTTATTTGATTGTCTTTATTATTTGCCTGTCTCAATTCGTTTCTTGCTGCTTTTCTTTGCATTTGTTCAGGTTTTGTTCACGTTTTGCCGTTTTGCTTTATTTTTTGCATCAATCATCTCTAGAATGCTTTTTCTTCCACCATAGACAGTAGTCCGATCTAAAACCTCTAAAATCTATACAGTAGTAATCCCCATCTCCTTTTACTAAAGGTACCCCAAATACAAAAAACTAGGGTCCGCGTTAATTTTGAGAAATTTCAGACTGGCCAATTTGATTTTTATTTGATACCCTCTCGAAAGCAACTTAAACATGTAGGTCCCATTTCAAGGTTTCACCCCCTAGTAATAAAAACTAGTCAACCCCGGTGTTTTTTTATGAGGGGTCCGTCTTTTAGGTCGGAAAAAAACAAACACATTTTATATTAAAGTTTTTAATTTAATATTAGGGGACAGCTTCGAAATCTATGTTTGGCAATATTTTAATTATATTTTATAAGGAAATCTAATCGATTTTGACAATTTAGTATAGCGGGAAGCTAAGCACCCTAATACTAAATACCCCCTTAAATTAAAAACAAGTGTTTATTATTTGGGGGGAGGGACGGTTTAGTAGTAGAGGGAAGGGATTAAAATTGACTAGTTGAGTATACATACATGAGAAACTGATCATGGTGCATTCTCCCTTGCCAACCGGGTTGTAAGTTTTGCCTCACCCATTTCACTACGATCGTAAACGGGTTGCTGAGCAGCTGTATAGACCCCGACATGAATCCTGTTTGACTCTCATGTCCACTTGCCGAAAACCAGTTTCCGAACCTCATAATTTCGAGGTTCGAGCATCTCTTGTCATATATCAAATAGATTGAAATAGGGGATCTCCAAGTCACCATGGTTGTTTCAATACTGCATCATGGTCATCCATGACTGGATGATGCAAGGGGGTACCCCCATGACAAAACTGAACCATCCACGCGGAACGCTCCAGACCTCGACTCTTCATGGGCCGCTCACCGGGCACCGGCGGCGTTGCCGCTCGGGGCTGAGTCATAAAGAACACGGGGCAGCAGAGTTGACAACCTTGGCATGAAAAACAGTTGAGCCAAAAATCATATGGGCGGGGATGGGTCAAAACCTATGCCTATGGGCCCACAGAGTTTAGTGTATGTTTCGTATTAATCATCTAATGATTGGGGTACCCAATTTTGACCTACATCTGTAAATATGTATGTATATTTAAATATAAATATAAATATATACATATGACATATGTATATATATATATGAAAATCATGTGGGATAATCACCACAACGGGTTTGACTGAAAATAAATTACTCAGATTCATGAAACTTGCAATGTGGCCGGTTAGTTCAACATAGTATATCTCAAGTTCTATGTATCCATCTGTTCTCAAAAAGGCTAAAATCTATGTAGATCTGTATCGCTATATAAACCATCCAGCTGTTCAACTCCCTAAATTTGATGGTTAACCCCCCCGTTTTGGCCACTTAGAATCCCAATTGTTGCTTCTTTAGGTTAATACCATTTATACATTCAGTTGGGCATTCTTGGGAAATACATAAATCTCCAACTATGGTTGGTAATCAACCCCCATTAATTCACACGTTTTGATCCTTAAACCACAATGTCCCCTACATTTTCTCAATGGTTTCCCCAAGTTTCGCATGTTTTCAATTGTTTTCACGCTGAAACCCATAAGTTCCCCATCTTTTTGCCCTTGAACTCAACGTGCCAACAACCGTTCCGCCGGGTGCCGATGGGTAACCCCAGGTACAGCAGGTGCCGAGGCTCCGCAGTGAGCGGCCTATATAAAGGGGGGGGGGTTCCCTGATTCCACCAAAATAGGGTTTTAACCAACAAGATATTTTTAAAGGTTGGTATGGTGATAAAACCTAAAATACATAAATGGTTGGGTATCCAGATATCCAAATATCTAATTGGAATGGTGATATCTGGATATTCCAATTAGATCTGATGATGTAAATTATGGGCTTTAAATTTGTTATTTCTGGTTCACTTGATAGGTTTGTATAAGAATATCATGAGACTATTTTCTGGGATTGATCGCGATGCTGTTTACAATCAACG